TGCAGTCTGAAGTGATCACATAAATAGGGGTGATAGAGCTAAAGGAACATTTCAGAAGATCCTGCAGGATCAGCAGGGAGGAGCCGTGTTAACCTCCAGAAATGAGGACCATCTTTAAAAACAAGGTGCTGGTTTTTCTTCCCTGCTGAGCACGGAGTTCAGCCTGGACATGGAAAAAGTCCCAAGGTACAGGCAACCAGCCATTACTTACCTCTCTGACAGAGCCTGGGCATCACTTGTATTTCTGCTGTGGTTTTCCCCTTTTCCTGTTGGGGATCCATGAGCATCCTGTGCAGGTTCCAGGTGTAATCCTCACTTTGTGAGGGGTTGTTTCAGCTGAGTGATGATGGGAGCAGTGGACACCAGTGCTGGAGACCACATGGCTTGTGGTGTGGGATGGTCATGGTGAAGACTGTGAGATGCCTGTCTTGTGGAGAGATGGAGAGAAAAATCCACTTTCCCCACAGGAAGGCACTTGGCCATGCTGCCTAGAAACATCTCACCGAGTTCAGCTGCATTTGTGGTAAAGCTCCAAAAGCAAGGGCATTGAGCTGAGTGAGCATCCATGGGGATGTTTTCAGGATGTATCCATTCCTAGATACTATGGATACACCACTGTTCTCTGCTTATCCCTTGTAATTTTAATTGTGGGGCACACCATGTGGGAGCCTGAGGCAGGGCTGGCTGAATACAGCTATGTAAACCAGGCAGATAAGCATAGCCATAAGCACCTCTTTCCTTGATGTTATCCATTGACTGAATCAGCTGAATTCTCTTGGAGTCAGCTTTACTATCTCCTAAAGGGATGGGGAGGCTCTCAAAGGAGTGGCAGGAGACATAGGATTATCACTGGAAAAGATTCAACTGAGGGGAAACTGCCCCTCCTGCTGAAATCAGGGTTGCACCATGAGAAGTTCAGGGGAGCTGATGAGCTTTGTGTGGGACAGACACTCCCCAGGGCGAATCTGAATATCACAGTTGGCCTGAAGTGAGTTGTGCTTGCTGTTTGATTAACATTTGATTTCCTTTTACTGCTTCTTTGTGCACACAAAGCTGAATTTAGAGCTGCTGAAAGCCAGGGGCAGAGCCACTGAGTTCAGTAAAACCCATCTGGGAGCTGGGGGGGGCACTGGCGACTCCCTGGCGTCAGCAGGACACCATAAGCTCGTGGTGTTGGAGAGAGAGCGACCCCTGGTCCCCTCCATAACTGGGGTGCAGGTCAGCAGCACAGCACGGGTCATCACCCCAGTAACTGGGCTGGGCCATATGGCTGTGAAATTGGCCCTCACTGCCCCCAGACAACAAACTCTATATGATTTTTTCACATCTCTCCCATCAAACCAACATCTGAATGTCCCTAATAGATCTCCATAAAAATCTTCACAGCTGTTCTAGCAAACAGCCTGGAGTGCTGTGAGCTTTTATGAGTATTAACTATGTTAAGCAAAGCAAATCTCACAATTACATTGTCTGTGGGAGCAGCAAACTTCTCCCATCAGTCTCCCTGAGCGAGGAAAAAGGGTGATTAGTGTCCTGTTATCATCACAGTCATGGTTTAAGATGCTTTTACCAAGAACAGGACGACAGCCCTTGCCCAAAGCAGCTTCTTGTTCCTGCTGCTATTATCATAAGTAACCTGATGTGCTTGACATGTCATCAAATGTTTCTGAGCAGCATCTTCCTTTGAATAATAATTTAAGAAACCCCCCATGTTGCTGATCTGTCTCATCCTTTGTGGGTTTTTTTGGCATGGATTTGGCAGACCTTGGTCTCATCCTGTTCCTCCAGGCAGCCACAGTGGGAAAAGCTCGGGACAGTCCTGAGCAGCGCTGGGCTGGGGCTCGGAGCTTTGGAAATGGTGGGAGGGGAAAAGGATATTAAAGAATTTAGAGGAGTCTGCTGAGCTCTGTTGCAGAGCAGAGAAAAGACTTGGTTTCTTGCTGTGGGCTCTGGTTGTAGCTTTAGGAGCTGCACATGGCAAAGCCACACAGATCCCCCCGGTGCTGGATGTTCTCTTCACCAAGAGCTCCCAGCTCCATAAACCAGAAAACTCGCTGGTGACTTGTGCCATGGCCCAGACAATGCCACTGGGCTGGGCATGCCTGCATCTAAATGTCAGCTGGGCAGTGTCTGTCCCAGTGCTCCTGTGTGGTGCTCACTGCATCCAGTGTGGACAAACAGGGCCCACTCCTCCGGTGGGAAGGTGTGAGAAGTTTAAATGGGGGAAAAAAAAAAAGAAGGCAGGGAGGGGCTGGCTGATAGTGGTTGTGCTGGAAAATTGGATTTCAGGCAGGCAGTGGGAATTTAGGTTGAATTGTCACAAATGGAGTGTGGAAATTTTGCCTTCCCTTAGAAACCCGTGTTCCTGTAGGGATGGGTATAGTGGGGTGGGGGAGAGGGTGCAAAAAATCTCCACCCAACTCACTGTGGGTTTTTTCCCTCAGTTCAGCCTCTGAGTACAGCTCCTTCCTTAGGTGTGCTCAGGTGATCCTGGCCAGCCTCCCAAGTTTAGGGATTCCTTTTTTTCCACATGACCTCCTTGGGGAAGCTCAAGAGGGAGAAGAGACCTAGCGCTGCTGGTAGGAGGAAGGGCAGCTGTGGCCATGGTGGAGCAGCCATGGAATGAATGGGCAGATGAGCAGGATGCAAGGAAAAATAAGTTTTTCCCCAGCTGGCAGCACCCCATCAGCCAGTCCCACTTGGATCACCCTTGGCTGAGTGACCCCTGCACCAGCTCAGTGCAAGGGTGCAGCCACCACTCTGTGATGGGGGTGTGGGGTTCCCAAAGCCTGGCTGGGAGGCAAAGTTGGCTCTCCTGAGAATGAGCAAACCTGCTTGTTCCTGTCACTGCTGGCCTCCCTCCTGTCCCCAGCCGTGGGAACAGGCTGGCCCTGCTGTAAATCCGGAGAAGGCTGTGTCTGGATACGGGTATGGGTGTCCAGGCAGCACTGGCTTCTCAAATGAGGTGATTAACAGGCAGCCACAGGGCAACAAGAGAGAAAATAATCTTCCCCTTTCCTTGCCACCCTCGTCTCCATAGGAAGCTTTTTGTTTAAATTATAATGAAAAGGGGTATATTTTTGCTCTGGGAGAGCAGAGCGGGCTGTTGTGTGGAGGCTGCCCATGCTGGGCATCCCTGACACTGCCAGGCAGTCAGAGCATCCCATTAGAGAAGGACAGGAATTTCATCTTCAAGTGCAGCTGGATACAATTAATGGCATTTTCATTGTGTTTGAACTCTGGACATTGAACGGCAGCAAATGAGCAGACCTGGCCCCTGCTGGGTGCCACAACACAGCACCTCCCACTGGGCTCCAGGAGGCAGAGAATTAAATCTGAGATGGAGAGCTAAGGGACCCAAAAGCTGTGGGAATGACAACCTGGATCTGTGGATGTCTGGAGCAAAAGCCTGCTTCTTCCTGGCATCCTGATGGACTCACGTGCTGGCCAGGCAAAGGGGGAGGCATCACGGAGCACACGGACCTTCCCAGTGCCACAGCCTGCCTTCCCAATGCCACAGCCTGCCTTCCCAGGTTCTACCCGTGGAGGGAAGCAGCAGCCCTGGGGAACACCCTGTCACCCCAGACTCTGGTCCAGGAGCCATCAGAGGCAGCTTTCTCAGGCACTTCTGTTGTGGCTTCCTGAAGATGGATGTGAAATGTTGCTGTAGGAGCTGACCTGCATTTGAAGAGGCCTTTAATGAAGTCGGGAGGTTGCTTAAACACAAAGAACACTCAGGCACCCTGAATGGTCTGGTTAAGCCCAGCGCTGTCAAACTTGTGGCCTGCTGAACACAGGGTACTGAGGAGCATCTTAATAAAGTCAGGGCACTAATAAATGAACTGAACACATCTCTGAGACTATTGAACACGAGACCCCAGCACTGGGTTGGGTACAGCTCAGCCTGTTTCCAACCACGTAGGGATCCTTTTTTCCCTTTCAAACAGCCTTAAAAGCCCAAGACTTAAGCAAGAATGGGCCGTAATTTCATGTCTATGCACGCTCTTGTCTTTGGAATGCACCTCGTGCACTGGAGGCACAGAGTAGAACCAGTGGCAGCTGGGGGGTGACATTTCAGAGTGGCACTTGAGCCACAAGACACTTGTCAAATGTCTTTGTGCTTCCCCAGTGCTGTGAATGCGACTGCCTCGGATTGTGTGTGTGCTGCTGGCTGTGACAGTAATTCCTGGCACCAAATGATGCAGGAGGGACAGGGGAGGAAGGGAGGGCTTGCAGGGGGACAGCTGGGCAGTGGGTATTTGTGGGGCTTTTACAAGGGCGAGGAAAGGGCTTTAAGGTCCCTTCCAACCCCAGTCATTCTGTGACTGGAAAATAAGATTCTTGTTGACCTGCTGTTCAGCTTTGATATACTGTGTAATAAAGAAGCCAAAAAACCCTCCCCAAAACAATAATGAGCAGATTAAAGGAATTACCCTTGAGAAAAAAAAAATAGATTTCATTAGAAGGCTTATTTGAGAGGTGAATTATTTTGCTAATTTGATGCTATAGCTCATTCATGGTTAATAACCCCGACTGGTGGGGGGGTTCCCTGGGGTTACCTGGTGTTGCAGCACTGCTGCTGTGGGGATGAATTTGGTCCCTATAGCTCAGTGAAGGCTCACCATGCTGGAGCAGCGAAGTTTGGGCTGTGTCCTGATGCTTGTCCTCATGGTCTTGTCCATCTCACAGGCAAATTAAGGAGAAAAATAAGACAACTAAAGTAGAAACAAGCCAAGTGCATTGATGGGGCATCGATGCCATTTGTTGCAGGGGTTGGGTGCAGAAACAGAGAAGTTCTGAGGCCTTTTTTTTTCCCTTTAGTGTCTGAAGGCATCCAAAAAAGGCGAGACAAGGGATGGGTGTGGGGCACAGGCTCGGCACTGAGCAGCTGGAAGGAGCATTGCCGTGGCACGGTGAGGGGTGGGGGCTGGGGCAGAGCTACGCACCCCGTTCAGAGCCAAAGACGTATTTATCTCTGTTGCCCCCGTGTGTTTTTGCAGGCCCCAACTGCTTTGCAGGAACCACGATCATTCCCGCCGGCATCGAGGTGAAGGTGGACGACTGCAACATCTGCCACTGCCACAACGGGGACTGGTGGAAGCCGGCGCAGTGCTCCAAGCGGGAATGCCAGGGCAAGCAGGCTCTGTAGTGGGACCGCCCGCCCGCCAGCGCCAAACCCGCTGGGGACGATGAGGAAGGAATGGCCTCGATGCTGCCCCCGCGTCCGACCTCCCGCCGCTGCAGCAGGGTCACCAGCGAAACCTGCGAGCGCTCCGCACGAGCAGAGATTTGTACCCACGGGGAAGGGTGTCCCTGTGCCCCCTCCTGCTCTTCTCTGGCTTTGCACACTATGTATCTGGTGTCTCGGTATCTCCTCTGCTTTTGTAATTAGCAGTGCTTGGGAGGGAGGCAGTGGTCAGGTTTGGGGAGGAAACAGGAGAACAGCCCATGCAAGTTCTTGGACTGGTGATGCCTTCGAGCCGACGATCGATTCACCGCTCTCACTTTCTACGGTGTGGATCGTGGGGTTTTTCACATTTATTTATTTAAGGGTTTTTTGCTATTGTGATTTTTTTTTTTTTTTAAGCCTCTTCCTAAGCTGGGATCATCGGGACAATACAGCTGTGAGTGAAGCAATGGATGGAGCATTTTTATTGTGTCTGTAAGCAGGAGTGGCACTGAGGACAGGAGGGAGGTAAAAATTAAAAGGGGAGCAGGGTGTTAAAAAAAAAACCCAACTGGAATGTAACCTGCAGCAGGACCAAGGTAGAAGCACAGGTATGGGCCAGACAGCCAAGACACAAAGCTGTATCTGTGTTACACTTTCTCCACTGAGTGGGGACAATAAAGTTGAAGACACCTACACATCACCGTGACCTTGATGGGAGCAGGAGCCCACCCTGGCTGCGTGGGCAGGGCAGGGCAGGGCAGCCAGGCAGGAGGGAATGAAAAGGCACTGAGAAAGCAACATCTTACCTGGGTGGTCTTCATGTGAGGCCTGGTTGGGCATCGTGGTGAGGGATGAGGGCCCCACCTGTTCCCAGTTCTCAGGCTGAGTGTGTGCCCACCTGCCTTGTCGTGTCCCTTGGTGCCAAGGCTGCTCCTGCTGGAGCCAAGGGCAGCATTTCATTGCCTTCAGCTACAGCAGGTCACACAGACCTGATCCCCACACACAGGGAGGTTTCCGGGAATGTCCCATAGCACTAACCTGGCTCAGCTGGCAGGCACACCTTTTGCTACAGCAGGAGGGAGCTGCCCTGGCTCTCCCTGGGAGCATCCGTACTGCACGGGGGGATGGGCCTGGGCTGGCCACATCCATGGGAATTGGGTCCTGGTGAGGGGTGTCTCTCGGAGCAACTCCGTGCCTGCCTTCCAGGAGGAGAGGACCCCATGGTCCCACCTGCAGCTGAGGGACCCCATCGGAGGGGGCACCGGCACCTCCTGCTTTCTCAGGCTGCAGCTTCCAAGGGATGCTGTGAAAGAAAAGCCACCAGTGTCATCTCCCTGCTCTGCCTGCCCAGGTGAGCGCACGAGCCTTTCCCATCACTGTCCACGCTTGATTCCTGCTTTTTTTTGGTCGTGGCCATGAGGGTGATGGTGCTTATTTTGTTCATAGTTCAGACTTCAGCCCAGCACCCGCTCTCAGCAGAGGCGGCTGCAGATCCCCCCTACGGCATCTTCCACTGGCAGATCAGCACTTCGGGCTTGCTTCATACACGCTGTTGCCTTTACGTTTTTATTTCTTCCCCATTTTGGTGTTTCATGGAGGGCAGGGGTGGGATGAGCATGAGCACAGCAGCTGCTGTAGTGCAGCTGAGCACTGACCTCCTGCAGGCCGAGCATCAGAGGTGCCATCGCCACAGTCCTGTGTGAGCTGTTGCCTCTCAATGACTATCCCGTTTCAAAACTTACAAACAATAGTGTGCCTGAAACTAGTGAGGACAAAAACAATCTGTAAAAATGGGGGGGGGAGGTGTCCTATAAACAATATTTGATGTGTAAAAGACTATATTATTAAAAAATTATTTTGTTAAATATAAAGTGTGTGAACCAGCAAAAAACCCCAAAATTATATACTTGTGGTGTATTTTACTCGGCTGATCATCAGCCCCTTAGGCTCCCAATTCCCTGTCTCATCCCTTTGCTCCAGCCCCTGGCTCTCCACAGTGCTGGTGAGTGTTGCTGGAGTGGGAGTAGTGGACTTGGAGCCTGGAAATAGCCACAAGAGTCCCATGGGCAGGATGTGCTGCCCAGGGAGTATCTCAGCCATAACCCAGTAAAGCAGCTTTGCTTTGCCAAACCGGGATTCCTTTTTTGGGAGCTGCCGTGGACTGACACGGCTCCCAGGCTCTCGCTTTAACCTCCATCTGGTTTTGCCTTTTTCTGGTGCCATTTTATATTTGATGCCATTTCCTGAACATGGAAATTTGCTTTCAGTTCACAAACTCCATTTGGTACCTCCAGATGCATCATTATTTACACTGATTAGTAGTTACTCCAATTAATTACAGCTTAATTACTGTAGTTAGTGTTTGTACAGTGCTTGGAACAAGTACAGCTCTATACGTGCCACATATTATTATTTTCTTCGTTATTAATTAAGCACCATCTCCATTCCATGCTGTGCTACTTCATTATTTCCCAAGGAGTCACTGTAGCGCCCTTATTCCCACCCAGGAGTGCTCTTCTCCCAGCTGCCACCAGGATGCTGCAGTGCTGGACCAGTATGGGACAAGCAGTGGGATTGCTAAGCAACATGGGAATGCTTGTTTTTTAACCTTCACCCTTTCAGGGCACTGTATCTCAAACAAGTGGAAAATAAAAAGCTGATGGCAGGGGACACGCCGTGGACCACGTGCAGGGAGCTGGAGTGTGCGGGTGGTGATGGGAGGGAAAGCCCTGCAGCACCCATCACACAGGTGTCTGCAGGGTCTCCATGAGGTGCTTGCTGGGACCACAGAAGGGATCCGATTCCCCCAAATCCAGTGGTGTCAGACACACAGTCCTTGCTGAGGAATCCCTCAGCTCTCCCGTGCACCACAGTGTCAGCGGAGATCACAGGGAGAAGCCATAGGCACAGAACAGATTTTTTGGGAAAGCTTCCGCTCTTCATGTGGAAGAGTTGCCAATCATAGGTTGGGCAGTGTTTCCACAACACTGGTGTGCTTGGAGCAGTAGTCCCAAAAATCATTGCCTCTGGCTCTGCTTCCTCTCAGCCCATGTCAGGCCAGGGTGGATCCAGAACTGAAATCCCATCAAGGGCTCTCCAGAGACACCGCAGAGTTTCATCCTCATCCCAATCTCCTTCCTTTCTGCCTTTTTTTTTTTTTTAAAACGTTGTAGTTCATTTCTGCCTTTAATTAATCACAGCTCTGGGCCAGCCAGACCCATTAACTACTGTTCTCATTTAGACCTTTCAGAGATGCAGTTGCAGATGCAATTTAATTTGTTGACCTGTGATCGATAGCAATTAATACCATCTCTTTAATCTTGTTGAAAGGTTCGTCTTGGGCTTCCCGAGGCTGCCAGCTGAAGGGAAAGGTGCCTGATACATATGTTATTAGATAGGGGAGCACAACCTCCTCATGGGCACCGTCCTTCCCGTCCCCCAGGCTGCCACTCCTCAAAAATACAACAGGTATTTGTGAGATGAAGAAGGTGGATGAAGAGGTAGAGAAGAGCAGGGGGCTTGGCAGGGCAGAAAGTAGGGGAAGGCAGAGAGGATGGGTTGGAAAAATGAGGGATAAAGAGGGGAGATGAGGGGAGACAGAAATGATACAGCCCAGGAGATGTGGCTAGAAAAGGGAGCCAAAAGGAACTGGAGCAGAAGAGCAGGTCAGAGAGCAGAGAATTTGGAGGCAACACCTTCAGCAGGAATAGCAGTGAATTTTGCAGAAGAAACAGACCCAGAGCCAGAAAAATGCTCCTTCCCCCTGGGGTTCCTTACGCCCAAGCCTCACTCCTTTCATGGGATGCCATTTTCTGCCCCCCCAAGTACAGCACCTGTGTACAGCTCCCTCCTCCTCCCAGCAGTGGGAAAGCCCACCCTGAGAGCATCACCTTTCCCTGTCCTCATTAATATGCTATTACTCAAGATTGTTTTATAATTAGTGGATTATTTCCTGCACACCCCAGGGGGGGGCTGATTCAGCTCCGGATCACCTGTGGAGCATCAGCGGGATGATGTTGTTCTCCCCAGGAGCCGGCAAGGCACACTCAAAACCAGGCTAAGGCTGGGAAAATCCTGGACTTTGGGTATGTCCATCCTCCCAGTGCTCCTGGAGTCAGTAGCATGGAATGGCTTCAGTGGCACATCATGAGCCAGGTCCCCCGGTGACCATGGCCTGGCTCAGGTGCTGGATCTGCCGCAGCCCCCACAGCCACAGCTCTGCCAACGCTAAAGGCAAAGAGCAGATCCTCAGATTCCAACAGAGCACCAGCCATGAAGTGTTTGCCTTTGGTGGCTGCTAAAGGGGAAAGAGGGCCCATCCACCCTTCTTCTAGTGTGGAAGCTCAGCTTTTAAGACATGGGATAGAATATATGGAAAGGAAGTAAGTGACTGTGTTTATATATTTAGGACCATGGAAGGGTTTGGGTTGGAGAGGACCTTTTAAGGTCAGTTTAATATACCATATTGTATTTATTTGTATTTGCAGATATACTTCCTACATTTTCAGAGGGATTTTTTTTTAGGCAGTGTATCTTTTCACCATGACTAACTTCAGTACCTACAAGAGGTCTGCTCTCAGAAGATGCCAGTTCATGCCCCCACTAAGCCACACACAGACAAAGGGATAGTTACGTACTAGGAAATTGGAAGGAAAGACAAAGCACAACAGGAAAGCTGTCAGGCTGGCACAGATGGTGCCCCCCCCAGCACTCCTGGTCTCCTCCCTGCCGAGGCTGTGGGGCAGGTGATGGTTGCACCTGCCTCCAGAGGTGGCCCCACCTTTTGGTCACTGATGGCTGTTCAACGGGAGACAGACAAAGCCTCTCCTTTCTCGGGGAGTTTGTGTCCTCTGGCCACGCTGGCCCCTGGGGGAACAGAACCACAGAACACTTTGGGTTGAAGGGATTTCAAAGACCATCTTGTTCTGCCCCCCTGCCATGGGCAGGGACACCTTC